GATTCATATGGGATGGCTTTGAAAATACGGCTTTAACTTTCTCGAGGCGCTGAGCAAAGAGAGCGCCAATTTTTTCGGGTGATGATACCTTGTTTCAGCCTCGCCTAGAGTTCTACTAACATAACAGATAGGAAATTGCGTACCTTCATCTTTCTGGACTAAGACTCCACCGCTACCTAGGATACCGCTAAGTACAGGTACAACTGCTCATCTGCCTTCAGAGTATGGAGCAAGGGTGGACTCGAAAGGTACCGTTTGAGCTCTTTCAAAGCTTGTTGGAATTTCGGGGTCCAAGAAAAGTTATTCTTCTTCTTCAATAATGAGAAGAGCCGATGGCTCTTATCGGAAGACCTCCATATGAACCAGCCCAGGGCAGCTATGCGCCCGATTAGCCTCTGAACGGCCTTGGTACTATCCACCACGTTATATGTTCTATAACTTTGATTTTATCGGGATTGATCTCAATCCCTCGGTTGGACACCATGAATCCAAGGAATTTCCCGGATCCGACCCCGAATGCATATTTCTCTGGGTTCAGTCATGTTGTATCTCTTCAGTATGTTAAAAGTTTCCTGTAAATATTTCAAATGGTCCTCTGCTCACAGGGACTTAACTAATATGTCATTTATATAAACTTCTATTGATTTTCCAATTTGTTCTTTGAACATCCGATTTACTAGGCGTTGATAACTAGCACCGGCATTCTTTAGTCAAAATGACATTACGTGATAAGAATAGGTGCCGAATTTAGTGATAAAGGAAGTTTTTTCTTGATCGCCCGAGTCCATCCGGATTTGGTTGTACCCGGAATAGGCATCGAGAAAGCTGAGTATCTCGTGCCCGGCCATCGCATCGATCTTGCGATCGATGTTAGGCAAAGGAAAAGAGTCCTTAGGGCACGCCCTATTCAGGTCTTTGTAATCTATGCACATTCTTAACTTATTTTCCTTTTTAGGCACTACCACTATGTTAGCTAATCAATCCAGGTTCTTAAATTCCCAAATGGAACCCATTTTAAGGAGTTTGGATACCTCGTCTTTGATGAATGCATGCTTGACTTCGGACTGAGGCCTCCTTTTCTGTTTAACCGGGTGGAACTTCGGATCAAAGCTCAGCTTATGAGTGGTTATTTTTGGTAGGATCCCTGTCATATGCCATGTGCGTGTGAGGGTTGTTGTATTCTGTGCATTGCATTTGATGCCTAGAACTTGCCCCGTGTGTTTACAGAGTGAAATAGCAGTTTTTCTCAGTTTTGGAAATGATATAGGCATTTTTTTGTTGAGCCAGATATGTATATTTTACTCGCCTAATTGTTATGTATCGTAGTTAACCCCGTTGAGTCTATAATCCTCTTTCTTTGGCAACCATATTACAAGCCTTACTCAATTATTTGAATTAACCATCTATTTGAACCTTTTCACCTCTCATGAGTACTTGAATTGTTATGAACTGGGTAAAAGTTAAAGTGTGGGGTGGTTGGTTTGGCTTTTGAGTGGAACTAATAAAATAAGGAGAAAGGTGCACTGTTTTGAAAAAGTAAGAGCCGCTTGAATTGAAAAAGAAAGAAAGTGGAAAAATAGTTGTATTGTTGTGAAAAAAAATTATTCTTTGATAAGTGGTGACTCTTGATGTAATTGTGCTTAAAGAAGTATGGGGTAATATACATTAATGTGAAGGTGGAGTTTTGGTTTGACATAAGCATGGGCTTGAATGTTAAAGTATATGTATTAAAGTGCTTAGGGAGGTGTAGTCACTCTTATACCCAAATATATCCTACCCGTTCCGCAGCGTACATTACAACCAAATAAATTCCTACTTGATCCGAGACTGAATGAGCTCGATTAGTAGAGTAGTAGACTACGGGCAAGCCTATAGTGCATCTTTTGTGGCATATGAATGTTATTTTTGAGAGTGAGTGAATTCTTTCTATCTGTAGTTCCTAATTATTCTTAACTTTTATGGTGTGCGGAACTACTCTCCTTTGTTATGTGAGGGCACTTGATTCATGAAGGAAAGGCAATATTGTGGACCTCTATGTTAGAGTAAGTGGGTAAGTTGTGAATAATGCGTGGTACTTGTGAGTCAAATCTTGAGGTGAAGATGTTATGCTTTTGTGCTTAGTCTATTTAAATATTCTTGGTGTGATGAGTTAGGAGAATTGTTTAAAAAGGCCGTGTCTATATAAAGTGTAGTTTGATTGCTCGAGGACGAGCAATGGTTTAAGTGCGGGGTGTTGATGATAGGCTATAATTACGTATTTTAGTCGATTATTACATTCCAATTTACTGCACTTTAATTGAGTTTGCGCTTTAATCGCTAGTGTTTTGCACTAATTGTGTGTTTTATGCTTTGTAGGAGTGATTCCGAGCTATGTAGAGGTTATGGAATGAATTTAAGATATTTAGAGCTTTGAAGTCTGAGTAAAAGCTCAAGGAATATAATCCGGGATCGTGTTCAGGGATCAATGGATGATAGTTAAGAATGAACGACGAATCGAGTAGGCATATTGTGCACTGTCTAGTAAAATGCACATAACGTTTTGCTCAGAACTCCATTTGGGCTCCACAATATATGGTTGGAAAGCGAACTCAAAGGACTATAACTTTCATGTTTTACATTTTTCCAAATTCCTAACAAAACAGGGTGAAAAGTGCGCGTCAAGTGCGCGGCCGCGCTCAGGCCGCACTTGTCAGGCAGAATCAAAGTGGATATGCGCGGTCCAACCGCGGTCCAAGCGCCGCCGCGCACATCATGTTCGGAAAAAGTGTCCTTTTTGCGTAGGAGAAGGTATAATTGTTTGGGTTCAACCCTACTTGGTATATATACATGGGAAAACGGCATTTTGAGGACTTTTAGACATACTTTTGACATAATTTAGACCTAAAGAGGCTAAGGAGACCGGGGCTTCGACCTAAGGAGGCAAGAACACACTGGGAGCAAGGCGGAGAATTCTTCTATGAGTTTTTCACTTCCTACTTCCTATTTCCATTATTGGTTATGAATTCTAGTATTGTATCTTTTGCAAACTATTATGAATAGCTAATTTGTTATCTAGGATTTTGATGGAACCACTTGGAGGATGAATTCTTGTTATGTTTTAATACAATTTAACCTTTGAATTTGTCTATTTGTTCAACTACGTGCTTATTTCAGTTGATTGAATAGTCAATCGTGCTTATTTCAGTTGATTGAATGGCCATCGATTGACTGTGCCTATTATTATGTGTTGCTTGAGAAAGGATACATATTTAGGTGGTTGTTGAACAACATCATTCCTAACGTATGTGAGAAATCAATACAGCAGGTTTAAAGGCAGGTTTAGAAATAACAAAGCCTTGACGTGGTCATAATGAGCGGTTAGATAAAGCCAACTAGCGTAGTTCGAGAGAATATGTCTAGTAAATTGTTGTAGTTGCTCGAGAGAATTACGGCACCTAAAGTGCTCACGATCAGTAGAGAATACATAGGTGAAATTGTAGGGAACATAGCATGAAGGATTCCAACATTTGGGGAAATCATAACTCTAGACTTCCTAAGTTTAATCTCCAACCCTTAGTATCTTTAGTTGTTAATTTACTGCTTAAGTTTCTTAGTTAATTAGTTAGATATAAAAATCTTAATATTATAACTTAGTAATTGTTCGAGCTTGTCTTCCGAGTGATATTGAACAGTTATAGTGAAACCTTAGGGGATTCGACTCTAGACTTTTAGACCGAATAATATTTGCAGCGATCGCTTATCCTTTTTAGGACTAGAGTTTGGCGTGATCAGTCTCGACCTTGATGGACCCGGCGTGCGCTTTTACAAAGGCATGTGCAAGCATAGCAAATGAATCAATAGAATTAGGGGGTAAGTTGTGATACCATATCATTGCTCCTTTTGACAGGGTTTCTCCAAACCTTTTCAGCAAAACCCACTCAATTTCGTCATCTTCTAAGTCGTTTCCCTTGATGGCACGCGTGTAGGAGGTCACATGTTCATTTGGATCCGTGGTTCCATTATACTTCGGAATTTCGGGCATACGGAACTTCTTCGAGATTGGCTTCAGTGCCGTACTTGGGAGGAAAGGCCTTTGGACAAATTTCTTGGAGTCCAGGCCTCTCAATATCGGGGGCGCTCCTGGGACTTGATCAACTCTGGAGTTATAGGTCTCCACTTTTTGTATCGTTGGCCTTAATTTTCTTCTCCCCCGATTCCACCCACTTTGTCAGTTCCTCAAGCATCTTTATTATTTCGGGGTTGGTCCCGGGCTCAACTTCACCCAGCCTTTCCTTGACTTGTTCATTTCTTCGGGTGTTTTTCCAGGATGGTTCAGGCTCAACTCTGCTTGGGTGCGACTTTGGTTTTGCAGCTGGGCTATCGTCGCTTGTTGGGCTTGTAATATTTCGGAGATAACCCGTAGATTGATCTTGTCGCCTTCACCGTCGTACATGTCCCGAGCTATTGATCGGGCTCCTTCACGAACGCTGTTCTCGTGGTCGGTCGACTGGTTTGCATCGATGGCCACATGTGAGTTGGCATCGATTGGATCCGTAACTGGGACTTCGTTGGGGTCAGCAGGGGGCACCTCGTTGCTGGGTACTATATTATTGTTTTCGCCATGGTGACCAGGCTCCATCAACGTTCAAGTGAGAAGATTGAGAGTTTGACATTCTTAAGTTGACCAGAAATTAAAATCTCAAAGAACAAGCGTAAAACATAGTGTGTTATGAAAATTTATATCAAACTACCACTAGTATCCTTATCCACACGGCGGACGCCAAACTATTTACCTTCAAAAATGAATAACTATTGAATTTATACGCGGTTTTTAGAATATGTGAACTAATTCAATACAAGTGATTATCAGCGTTATATGATTCAAATTAAAGATAGAATAAATGGCCAAACCAGTAATAGTGTCGAGTTCGGGCTCGGTTGCGAGCCAAACAATTAGTCTGCCTTCGATTCGGAACCAAACAATTTTGAAGGGCTATGAACAAAATTAAGAACTTTGAATAACCTCTAGAAGCAGAGAAAACAAATGTATATTACCTTGATATGCCAGTTACAATGTCCTTATTGAATAATCAGCTCCCCCTTTATGTAGTAGGGAAATTTTACCCTAAGTACAATCCTAAGAAAGGTAAAAATCTTCCTTTTTACTAATCACGGATCTGATGTCGATACGGGCCGAGATTCACGGCGTGATATCCGGTTGGACGCGGATGTCATGGCCCTTTGTTAATCATGGGCGGTCATTCGGTAATGCTCTCTAAGGTCTTGGAACTCGAACCGGATCCAACGGGCATGTTCTCGATGGCTCCGAGGGCAAGTGGTTTGCTCGGGCCTTGATATGAGAGGCTCCAAGCTTCGATTCTGATTCCTTGCAGTCATGTCCTTGCTTCGTTTGCCTCACCTGAAAATCCGAGTGCTCATTGGCCCCTATTTTACCCGTATACACTCGTAATATAGATATACCTCAAAAAGCTTTATTAAGAAATAAATGAAATATATTTTGGTTAGGCCAAGACCTAGCTAGTGTATTTTACTTCAGAATGCAACACCAAACTTTATAAAGAAGCAATAAGTCTATTGCTTAATTAATGGATACGTATGAAATTCTCTACTCTCCTCAAAATTTATCCTACTTGTGCCTTCAATTCTAAGTTTCAAGAGTTTAATAGTGAAACATGTGAATGAACTATTAAACAAAATATTGTGGAGAAAAATTTCAAATAATAATTCTAATGAAAGATCATGTTAGAAATTAAAGTCTCTCGAATAGATTTGAAATGAATATAAAATATTGTTTTCTCCATTTCAAATTGAATGTATTACATTGACTTTCCACGATTATTAACAGAAAAATTAGTACCATTTGAGTTAATATGCAGGGATACATATAAGTTCTTTTGGCTTTTTAAAACAAAGTAGAGAAATAGGAAAGACTAGAAGTGTGTCTCACTTAACTTTTTATGATTATTATACATTAGAAAGGTTTTATTCTAACTTATCTGGGAACGGAAAGAACTCTTTTTTCCATTTACAAGCAGTACACTACTGCTGGATACGTACTCATAGAAATAAGTAATGAAGAAAGTATTCTTTCAGCAGCAGAAGAAGAAAAACGAAAGCGGAGCAAGAAGGAAGAGCTAAAATGAAGAGAATAAAAGTTAACATATTGAACAAAAAATATACTAGTAGGGAGGGCCTGTGAATGTAACGGGAAGAAAATTAACAAGTTGATGTCTATTGCACGGATACGCTTTTATAAACTTATAGGTGACCATATATATTAGAGTTTTAATAAGTTATATATATCGTCAGTGTAAGGAATTTTTACACTGCCACGTCATATTTATTTGTTGTAATAGGTAATCTGCCTTATTTTCAAGATTTAACGTGTACAATATGTTTACAATATTTTTCCACCAATTTTTTTTCCCTAATTCTAAATATAGTGGCTCTGTTAAAAAATTATATAGTAATAAAATCCTTTTTGTTTTTATCAGCTCAGCGATCCACGTTTGGATGAGTTAACAACAGTAGGGATCGGAGTAGGTCTTTACCTTTAAACGAGAATATATTAACGTTTGAATACAGCTTATGGTGTAATGAGTATATGTTAATAGCAATTGCTTATGGTTAATGTTGATAATTCTTTTCGAAGAAAATGATAGATAGATACATTAAAAAATGAAGGGAATAAAGGAGAACATTTGTCAAAAGGTAGAGAGAATATATTATCCATATATGTAGTTGAGAATTGACAATTAAGTAGTTATATTTGAATGGTGTAACACTGAAATCTCACCTGGTCCTTCTCTAATTCCTTGACTAAGCCTCTTCCACCTTCTTCCAAATAAAGGGGAAACGAACAATTCCTCCAAAACCACTCATCTGCATTGATCAGTTACTGTCAACTGCATCATTTTAGAGGTTATGTCAAACAAGTCTGCTAAATGGTCGGATTGCCATGCAAATTAAGGTTACAACTCTCTCTCTCTCTCTCTCTTAAGCCCTATATAAAGCTCCCCTTACCATGTCAATTCAATCATCCATCTTCTCTTTGGTAACAATAAAACTAATAAACACCAACGAGAGGAGTAACCTCGAGTTGTTGATCACTATCATCTTTCCTTTTTTCCTTCTACATTATTCTATAGGAAAGAGGGAAAGAAATTATATCTCAAAAAAACAAATTAAAAAAAAGGAGAAAAATTAAAGAAGAGAAAAGATGGTGGGGAAAATAGTGGTTTCGTTAGTATCCTTGATTCTTCTAGTTGGTGTGATAATAGGAGTGGTGGTGGTTGTACACCAAAATGGGAATCACAAAGAAGATCAAAGCACCAAAGTCCAAATGAAGAAAGTGCATGAGTTTTGTCAAGCAGCTGAATTTAAAGACTCATGTGCCAAGAGTCTTGAGTCTGTAGCGAAAAACGATACAGCTACAATTAATGACTATCTAATGGCAGCCTTCCAAACTACAGTGGAAGAAGTGAAGAAAGGACTGCAGGAGGCTGGGAAGACTTCTGTGAACAAAGACAGCGATCCTTACAATCACATGGCAATAGAGGATTGCAAGGAGCTGTTGCAAAGAGCTGTCGAAGAACTTGAGGACGCGCTCAGCTTGGTTGGAGAGACCGATACTGAATCACTAAATGAATATACATATGATCTGTTGAACTGGCTCAGTGCCGTCTACTCCTACCAAAGCATATGTGTGGATGCCATCGACAAGCCCGAGTTAAAAACCGCTATTCAAAATGGCGTTGTCAATGCCACACAACTCACAAACAATGCACTCAACATTGTAGCCAAGATTTCAGACCTCTTCCAATCCTTCAACATTCAAATTCCTGATAATCTTATCAACAGCAGCAGCGACAGCAACTCACCTCATCGCCGTCTCCTTGAGGCGAACAAGATCGATCAGGACGGTTACCCTACATGGTTCCCCGTTGCTGACCGTAAGCTATTGGCAAAATCCGGAAAAGGGAATGGAAAAGGACAAGGTGGTGCTGCTGCTGGGGTTGCTCCACTACTTCCTCCAATTGGTCCCGGCCCAATTACTCCTCACGCAGTAGTTGCCAAGGATGGCAGCGGCAAATTCAAAACCGTCACTGATGCAGTCAGAGCGTACCCACCAAACCACCAAGGCAGATACATTATCTATGTCAAGGCCGGCGTTTATAACGAACAAGTCCTTATCGATAAGAAACAAATAAACGTGTTTATGTATGGTGATGGCGCAGGGAAATCTATCATCACTTGTGACAAAAATGTTAAAATAGCGAAATTCACCACCTCCAAAACTGCTACAGTCGGTAAGTACATATATACATACTCCTATTGGAAATTAAAATTACCATTTAACGAATTAAAGAGTTTAAGTTGTATCTATTATATTGCAGCTGTTGAGAGCGAGGGGTTCATAGCGAGAGGAATTACCTTCCGCAACACAGCGGGTCCAGAAGGGGAACAAGCCGTGGCACTTAGAATCAACGGAGATAGGGCGGCGGTATTCGACTGCAGCATGGAAGGATTTCAAGACACCCTGTACTATCAATCCCATCGCCAGTTCTACCGCAACTGTGTCATCTCAGGTACAGTGGATTTCATATTTGGCATGGGCTCGGCAGTCATCCAGAACAGTGAGATCATAGTGAGGAAGTGTGGGCCGAAACAGAAGAACACAATCACAGCTGACGGCAGGGAATTGCCGAGTGAAATCACTGGATTGGTATTGCAAAACTGCAGGATAGTACCAGACAAAGAACTGTTCCCAGTGAGGTTCACGCTACAATCTTACTTGAGCCGCCCATGGAAGCAATTATCGACCAATGTGTTCATAGAAAACGAGATTGGTGATTTCATTAGGCCAGAAGGATATATGATATGGGACGACCACACATTCCATCAAACATGTTTAGTGTATGAGTATGCAAACAGAGGACCTGGTGCTGCTACTAACCTTAGGAGCAAACTTTTCAAGAATTTCAAGGTCCTTAGCCCACAAGAAGCAACTAAATACACTGTTGGCGAGTGGCTTAGAGGTAATGAGTGGTTGCCTGGAACTAATGCACCTTTCTACCTTGGTCTTGGTGGCAAATAATTTTACCACATTCCTACTTCTCAACCATTTATTATATTGCATGGGATTCGTTTTTGTTGGAGAAGAATCATAATTCTAAGTAATTAGGATACTATATGACACCATATTTCATTTTTGTCAATGTAATAAAGACATTAATTATTTTCAATGTTACTATTTGTTGTTTTTGATGTTCCTTACTGCTGTCATTAATTGTCCTTCTAATAATTTTTCTTCTTACTTACAGTTGGTGAGCCATTGACTTGCACCAAAATAACAACTATTAATTAAGTACTTATATTTATTTGTCACTGATTGAGAATCTGAGATGAGGACCAAAAGAAAGGTGGAATAATACACAGGAAAACAGAAGAAAAATTAGAATAAAAACTGAGTTAGCAGAGAGAAAGGACTAAAACTAAAGTTTTGTATGCACCAAGATGTGAGTAAAAATTGAAAAAATAACACCGGAGTTAACTTGAAAGAACGAGAAAACAATTATATGGAATACATATTTACAAAGGCAACGTAAATATTTGGGATAATATGCCGGTAAATAGGGCCGGGATGGCAATGGGGCGGGGTGGGGCGGATTGAAACCATTTTAATTTTTTAAAAGCGAGGCAGGGCGGGTTTGATGCGGGTTGAGTGCGCGTTCAACTGCTATTTTACATTCTTTTTTCAGCTAGCAATAATATTTTAGATTTATGTCCAAAAAAAGTATTCTTATTTTTGCATCTTGTAATTGTTTATATTTTCATTAATATTTTTGGTATTAAAACAATATAATGGTTACTATTCAACAATGTTCATATCGAGACATTGTTACGAACAGTTAGAAGGGATAGTTTGTATTTCTAAGACTTGTTTTGTTCCAGCTCTACCTTTTGTCTTATATAATTATGTCCTCTTAAGATAATCAACTGATCGTGGTTTATGGGTTCAGAAATAGTAGAACTACTCCATTTCCTTTAATCCTCATGTACCTATTTGCAAGTTTTCTTCTCTCCACTAATTAAAGATTCGTAATTGAGGAAGAACGAACTGGAAAACAAAATATGATGCGTATAGCAACTGACTAATTAGTTGATAGAATCTTGTTTCTCTTATTTCATGGACAATGTACAATTTCACTAGACGACAAAAGAAAAACATAAGTGCTTGAATAATATTAAATTCATCATTTAAAAATAATAATAAAATGTCAAATTAGTTTGTCTTAGAAAAAAAAATAATAAAAAAGAAAAAATTATAGGAGAAAATTTAAGCAAGACAGGGCGGGGCGGGGCGGGTTGTAAACAGAAAAAATAGCTATGCAGGCGGGGCGGATTCAAATTCTTGCGGGTTAAGCCAAACCCACCCCCACCCCCACCCGCTCCGCTTCGCCCCTCCCCACTGCCATCCCTACTGGTAAATCGCAATACTTTGTATTCTACATGTACAAAGTAAAATCAAACTATTACCAAGTGATGTTTTATACTTCAATGTCACACAAGGGGGGTGATTTGTGTGGTGTCAAATTTTCGCGTGCACAGATTATAGAAGGACCTGGTTCTTCTATGTGTTCCTTATACTACTATTGCGAAAATAATAAATGCGAAAAGTAAAGAACACAAGTATTTTACGTGGAAAATACCCGGCTCAAAAGGTAAAAAAATACGACCTACTATTCAGTAGGATTTTCCCCAACACTTCACTAAATCACTGAGCCAAAATAGCATTATTCTTTGTAAACCTAAGGATTACCTCTAATCCTGTTGTGGCAACCAGCCTCTAACTGTTGCGACAACTTCAAGTTAACTCTAACTTGAATACTCAGTGTACCTAATACAATTGCTTCTAGATAAAGCTAAAAGGTACAATTTGAAAATACCTACTATAATGAAACTAGAATAAAAGACAGACACTTGGAACTGGTTCTTCTATCTGGTTCATGTAGCTTCAGGTTTGCATACTTGAATCACATAAGAATTGCTTGCAAAATGCCTTGCTATTATGCTCTCAACTCACATTTAACTTCAGCCTTTGTGTGTGCCTGTAAAGTGAGAACATTCTGTAATTTATACAGTTAGTAAAATATGAAATAACTAGAGTTCCAATGTTATACACTTCCTTGATGGAAGAGTTCTAGTTATCTTCAACTTCTAACCCTTCTCTTATCTTGGATAAAGTTCTTTTCGAATAAGGAGTTCTTCTCCTTATCAATTATGGAATATTTTCGATCAGGAGATATCAGTTATAACAACTTAGGCTTATCTCCTTCACGTGCATCCCTTATGCTCGAATCTGCCCGTGTCTGTGTGTACTGTGTATGGACCTGGTTCATGCTTGAGTTCCTTTGTCAATCATTAAAACAAACTTCACTTGGGCAAAAAAATTCCCCTTTTTTGATGATGACAAACTCTGTGCTCTTCATAAGCATAGGCCCTGTTTCAACTCAGCTTAACATCAACACAATGTTAGAATACTTTTTATTTTAAAGTCACAAATCATCAAGGACCAGATTCATTAGGTTATAAATATCACAGTCCAAAGTAAAAGCACAACCTAATTTCCCCCTTTTGGCATCATCGAAAAGTTGCATAATTATGTTAGATAACCATATTTTAATAGAAATTACTC